AAAAAAAAAAAAAAAATCATGAAAAACGTGTACCTTCATGCATATTAGTAGTACACGTGTAATGCATGGTAGTCTGCTATAATGGCAAATACACGTGTATAGGAGTCTGGAGACCACTGGCTTCTAGCTTTGGCTCTGCATGTCAACCAACTATAATTTAAGGAAGAACACTCTATGTATAAAATGGGAGAACAGCATTTGTTTTGATAGGATTTTTGTGAGGATTAAAGGAAATAATACTAGCTATGCAAATACAAGCTGCTATAATTCAAGTTCAATTGTTTACCTGTTCGAAAGTCGAAGCTTTCAGGCTGGCTGAGACCATCTATGACCACCTGTAAGGTGTGTACTGTTGTTTTTAATTTTTCTGCAGTTTTCTCTATTCCTTCCTTTTTAAGGAATGAACTTATTTTTTGTTGCATTTCAGGTTTTCCAGTCTCACACAGTGTCCCTCCAAAGAATGGTAAAAACCTGCAGTAGGGGGAAAAAGCCCAACTCTTATCAGTAATATTACTTCTTTCTTACATAAGTCATCCTTAAAATTCATTCATCTCAGATCCATACATCAATCAGTCAGTCTACTGAAAATCTACTATATGTCCCATGCTATAATAAACAGATGATCTGTCTTTGGGGAAAAAAGTAGAGAAATGAGGAGGTTGTAGACTTAGGTTCCTGTGCTACTTTTCAAATGGGGCACCTGCCTAGAGTCACAACCAAAAACATTTCACAAAGTAATGTTCATTATAGTTTAAGGTCATATCTATTTGCTAAATAAGGTCATCTATATTTACCTCATTTCCTAAAATTTCAGTTAGGAAAACTTATTTGAATTTAAATTAGCTAATAGGCAAACAATTATTTGATGATACCAAAATTGCCATTTTTTTCTTTTTAAAAGAGATAGGGTCTTGTTCTGCTGTCCAGGCTACAGTGCAGTGGCCTGGTCATAGGTCACTGCAGCCTTGAACTCCTGGGCTCAAGCAATCCTCCCACCTCAGTCTCCCAAGTAATTGGGACTACAGTCACAAGCCACCTTGTCCAGCTAATTTTTATTTATTTTTTGGTAGAAATTGGGTATCATTATATTGCCTAGGCTAGTCTCAAACTCTTGGCCTCAAGCTATCCTCCTATGTTGTTCTCCAAAGTAGCTGGGACTATAAGTCTGTGCCATCATACCCGAACAAATTTAAAATATTTTTATAGAGATGGGGGTCTCAACCTGTGTTGTCCAGGCTGATCTCAAACTCCTGGCCTCACGCAGTGTTAGCCTCCCAAAGCACTGCATTACTACAGGCATGAACTACCATGCCCAACCCTAACTTTCAACAAATGAATTACTCTATTCATGTGCTATATCACTGTTTTTTACTTCTGGGTGGCCATAATAGGAGTGTTACCTGTATAGCATACTATCAGCCTGATGACTGAAATTCCATCAACAGTCAAGCCTCACATAAACTAAATTACATCAAGTATACTGAATATTCAAAGTCAACAGAAAAAATATGAGGGAGGCTATCAAAAAGAAAAACTTTCTTCTAAAATGAAATACTTTAATTATATAATCTAAAGATTATCTTTATTCACTTTATATATTATATAGCTGCAATATTTGCAAAGTAAAAATATCTGCTTCCTTTTGCCATGTGTTTACCATTTCCTTTGCTTGCACAGCTACCTCCCAGTTACTTAGATTTTGAGTTCACTAATGAGTAGATAAGCAAAAGCAATTAGAAAGTTAAGATGCATTTCCCTTCAACAATTTCATGTGAATACTGGGCTGTAGCTTAGTTTCTTGACATTCCTTGGCTGAGTATTTTTCTACACCATTAAGTTCCATTTCCTATGATTAATGGTACTTTAAAAATGTCAACACGGTAATCAGACAGATAGTGATACTAATGCCCTCAAATCCTTTCCTCTAAGGATATCTCTGGAATACAAGAAAGGAAAAAGAAACTGTTGGAGGGTTGTCTATAATCAGAATTGGGATGTATCCCATTTGGCAGGTTATCTGGGATTTCAACATTTTCTGCATTGTTGTGTTCAACCAGTAAAGTCCTCTTCAGTGATACTCTGATACTGATAATCTGACAAACTGGAGGAGAAAGCTCTCCCATCGCTTAATGAGCTATAGTATGTCTTTGGGTTAAAATGTGCAACACTCTTACACTACTATAGCCATATTTTTGGTCCAAAACAGACAGATTTCCTAGCATCTAACTAATTCTCTCAATACTATATTCTGCTTAATGTTCTAATAAAAGACCAATGAGTTAGTGCTGAGTCTCCCTCTTTGGAAATGAGCCTCCATCCAAACTGGTGACTAGTGAGAGATATACACTGTGAGTCTGTATTTGTGGCTTCCCCAGCACAGTGGAGACAGGTGGCATCTGTTAGTGCTGATGGATGGGCAGTAGCACACAAGGGCCCTGGTGACAGGGAACAGCTGCTGGAGCTCTGATTGACAGGGCAGATGACACATGACAACCTCTGCCCACAGCCAACTTCCTTACACAACTTTTCTAAATAATTCATACCCTGCTGAGCAGGCTTCCCTGGTATTCACCCTCTTGGTTTTATTGGTCTGCAACTGGCTACTTAGCAGAACATCTTTCAAATCCTCAAGATTCTGGCTAATAACCATCTGTTAAAATGCCAAAAAGTGCATTCATGGGCTGTAAATCTAAAACCGTGAATAGCATTTTATAATTAATAAAAGTAAATGGCAGAAACTTCTCAAAGAACTGTCTAAGTCTTGGCTTCAATAACGAAACAGTGGTTCAGCAGGTCACTTGGAGTCTTAAGGGTGTGGGAGGGGAGGGGGGAAGAGAAAGACATTATCTCCTACCAAAGTCACTTCCATATAAAGAATTCTGCTCATAGTAGTTGTAAATGTAAAAACATCAGTCCATTTAACTTAGGTGCATATTTCATATATCATTTTCATTCCCACACACATAAGCCTGAGAGTATTAGTAACAAGTCAATAAAAAAGCACCAAGTCCTACTCAAAGCTAATGCTTCATATTGATCAACCCTATTTTTAAATGACTACAGGACAAAGTCAAGGGCTTTTTTATTTTAAAAACTTTCTAAAGTTAACAACAAGGTCACAAAGAAAGAAAGAGCTAACAAAGGAAGAGGGACTGTAAAATGAACTTGGAACAGCATTTGGATTGACCTGTCCCTTGCTGAATTTCAACTACATATGATAGAAAGCAATGTTTTATGCCTCAGTACCCATTCAGTAAACACATGTTCCCTAAATACCCTAAGAGAAATTTATTCTACATATTATAAAATTTCAGTTTAGAATTAAGTGTGGTAAGTAATACTCAATACCAAGAATTTTCTATCATATCTGTGTTATGAAGCTTAGAACACAGAAGGTAAGTGAGCATTTACTGATAAATACATGTCAGACATTATACTAGACAGATACTCTCATTTAATCATGGCAACAATCCTAATACGTAGGTATATTATCCGGAAAAGGAAAACTGAAGTTCTAGGAGGTTAAATAACTTACTCAAAGCCATGCAGCTATTCTCACTAACTGCAGTTTCGTGCTGCACACAATGTATGTGTCTGTATGTGAGTGAAGGTATGTAAAAATTAAAGTGCTATATTTGGTTAGGATAGAAAACACAATACTTTCAGTAATGTTTTACCAATACAATTTAATGGCAGATTACTTTTAAACATTAAATGGTTACCACTGAATAAATTCCACAAAGAAACATACACATACTTTAAAAAAAAACAATTCCTTCAAAAGTCAATGAGTTATTCAAGTCATACTCTCATTTTCTCCACTGTCTCTGGAAGGCTTTTTCAGTTTGCTAAGTACTGCTGTTTCAGCTGCTGTTTTTATTTAATATGTAATTTCATCCATCTTATTTAAAGTAAGAAAGTAGCATAAATGCAACAAATAAGCACATCATGTTCTTTTAGTACACATCTGTACAAAGTTAAAATATAGACCTTGTAGTTGAGATGCTGCTTATTTTTCAAACAAAATGCTATATAATCTAAAATAACTGATATTTCAACAGAAACTTATTAGAAATGCAGAGGTTTTTCCCTCTAAGAATAAGTCTCTCTGTAAGAGACTTGCAGAGACTTTTCTCAAGATTCATGAGACCTCAGACATAGCCATTCAGTTTTATGTAATCATTTCCAGCATGGAAATTTAGGAGCTGAGGACTCGGTTCATTACATTTTAGCAATATGATACCCTACAGAAGAACCACTGTGATGCAACACAATCACTTTAAAAACAACTTAATATTAGCATGTGCTTTGTGGGCAAAACATATATGATTTATAGCTCCACCAAGCACCATGCTTTAAGGGCAAATGACTTCTAGCTGTCTACGCACTCTCAACCCTTTTAAGAGACTTGTTTTTATCCATTAGTTTTAAAGTAATTACACCAATAAGCAACATTTTAGAAATGAATATAGTTTCACATAGAACAGGCCATAATTTATAATTCAGGCAGATATTCAATGACTTTAAAAATAGTTTATATTTAACTCTATATGAAAACTCTGGCCTTGAAAACTGTAAACAGTGGAACACAAATGAAAGTTCAATAATAATTTCTTACTCTAAAAAAGAGATACAGTATGTATTTTCAAATCTATAGCTCTTAATATTAAAGACTGAATATAATTTCATGGGTGGCAGAGGAGGAAAACCTGCTGCTCCCTTTACATTATCTGCAGAGGAGCTGAATTTACACAGGTGAGCCTACAACAGCTGCTGTTCCAGCAAAACAAAGGGACAGCAGTGTCACTTTAATCGTCATCAGGTAGTATCTTTTCAAACTTCTAATCTTCTTGTTAAACTAAGACACTGAACTGGGCCAGAAGAGTTACAAATCTTAGTTGGTATAAAATCTACAAGTAATTGTAAATTCCAGTAGAGTGCCTTTACATAAGAGGCGCATACAACTACCTAGTCTACTACTTCAGAAGCTAGTAGACACACACTGAGAGTGAGATTTAAATAGCTTTCCTTAGCAAATAATCAACCAAAGAAAGTTAGGGCAAATAGTTCTCAACTACAACTTAAAGATGACTCACGTTTTTCTTTTCTTGAGACAGAGCCTCAAGCTGTTGCCCTGGCTTCACAGCTCATAGCAACCTCCAACTCCTGGGCTCAAGCAATTCTCTTGCCTCCGCCTCCCAAGTAGCTGGGACTATAGGCGCCTACCACAACACCCGGCTATTTTTTGGTTGCAGCCATCATTGTTGTTTGGTGGGCCCAGGCTGGATTTGAACCCACCAGCTCAGGTGTGTGTGGCTGGCGCCTTAGCTGCTTGAGCCATAGGCACCAAGCCAGATGACTCACTTTTAAAATTAACACACTACAGATAAACATTTAAAAAATGTAAACCTTTCACAGCAAGAGTAATGAGATTCTTCTAAAGGCTCTTACAGACTCCAACCTCAAAATAT